GGGGGGCATCCTGAGGGCAGGGGGCAGGAGGGTGTGAGCAGTGAACAGAGGAGGACATGGGTGGGTGGATGCACCGTCCAACCTTGGTGGGTTGATGGTTGTGTGGGTAGATATATGGGAAAGGGATGATGATGGATGGATGGAGTAATGGATGAATTGATGAAAGAGGAGGAGGAGGACAGGAGGATGAGTGGATACGATGGGCATGAGGATGGGTGAGTGGATGGATTGATGGATGGTTGGTTGAATGGAGGGGTTGATGGGTGAATGGATACATATATATTGGGGAGTAGGATGAACAGGGATGGATAGATGGATACGTTGGGGATGGAACATGCATGGATAGGTGGGTATGTTGGGGAGGAAAATGAGCAGTTTTGGATGGGTGGATAGAGGGATGGATGGATATGGTGGGGGAAGGACCCTCACCATATGGCCACAAATTGATAGGCGTGTAGATGAATGAATGGATGGATGCTTCAAAGGAAGATGAACATGGGTGGGCGGATGGACGGACAAATGGATGGATGGACGGATGGATGGACAGACACCCATGTAGAAGCATGGCTACACTAGAGGAGGAGCACACTTGCTGGGTGGCTGGGGAGCAGGCAGACCTGTGGCTGGAGGTGGAGAGGAGCTACCCCTTGGAGAGCCTGTGGGCTGCACGGGAGGGCAGCGAGGCAGGGACACGGAGGGGCACGTGTGACCTGGCTGCCCGTGGCCCACCCCTGCAGCTAACAAGAACGCGGTGGAGGCCGTGCAGTACGGCGTGGAGGGCAGCACCGCCTTCCTGGAGTGCCAGCCCCGCTCCCCCCAGGCCAGCATCAAGTGGCTGCTGCAGAAGGACAACAGCGACCGGCGGAAAGAGGTAGGGCAGGGTGATGCCCCCCAGGGACCCCCGTGGAGGAGGGGGTGCCGGGCACCAACCGGCTGAGCCGTGCCACCTCTTCTTCTTCCCCATCCCCAGCTGCGGGTGGAGGGCCGGGTGCTGCGGACGGAGCAGGGCTTGCTGCTGCGCGCCCTCCAGCTGGCCGACAGCGGCCTCTACTCCTGCACGGCCACCGAGAACAACTTCAAGCACACGGTGACCAAGGTGCAGCTTCGCGTCCTCAGCAGCCGTGCCGTCCACGCCGTGCTGGTCCAGGCGGAGCCCCCCCCCGGCCTGCCGGGTGTCCCCACTCCCCGCTACCAGGACCTGCTGCAGCTCCTCACCCAGCCCGAAATGGGACTCCTGGACCAGTACTGCCAGGGCTACTGGCGGCACACGGCCGCTAGCCCCCCCCAGCCGCTGGCTGGCCTCAAAGCCAAGGAGCAGCAGGACCAGAAGAAGCCTCGAAACCGCCGGAATCACCAGCCAGAGACCTACGGGCACACATGAAACCGTCATCAGGGACTTTGCTAGCACAGTGGTCTATTTTTCCCCCCTTTTAATATTAAAAATATCTATAAATAAATATATATATATATATATATATACATCCAGGCACACACGCACGCAGACACACGCGCTCCCCCCCCTCCCACAGGAGACGGTATTTATTTGTAGGTTGTACATAGTCACTGGGGTGATGTGACCCTGCCTCCTGGCCCTGGGCGGGGGAGTGGGAACCCCCAGCGTGGCCGTGGCTGCTGCCAGCATCGCTGTCTTCCCCCCTGCCCCAGGACTGTGGTGTGCGGGGACTGCTGGGCACTGTGGCCACTGTCTCCCCCACCTCTGGGGCACTGCACCACGCTGCGGGGCCTGAAGTGCTGGGTCCTCATGCGGGATGGGGGTGATGCTCTGGGGAGGGGGACAAAACCCAGGCAGGGGAGAGGTGGTGCTGGATAAGATCTGGCCCCCCACAACCTGGACCTGGCTCTCACACCTTCCTACCTCAGTTTCCCCACCCCACCACTTGATGAGCTTCCATGGGGAAGCTGCAGACCACCAGGCAAGCCTTGGAGAAAGGGGGCTGTGAGACTTGGGAGGGGGGCAGACAGGACCCTCAAGAGAAGACCCAGGTGTCCAGGCCACGGTGGGGGCTTGGCCAAGGTCTTTGGGTGGGGAAGGGAAGAAGGGGCTGTGCTGGGGTAAAACTTCAGGCAGCCACTGGTGCTCACTGGCACCAGCATCCCTGGGCATTTGGGGCACCCATCCCATCAGCCACCCCCTCGGGGCACCCCAGCAGTTGGGGGGGGATTGTAAATAGTTGTACATGGGGAGTGCAGGGGCGGCTGGGGCCGAGAAAGTGCTCCCCCCCCCCCCCCCCCC